TATAATACATGGAATAAATCATAGAAACATTTTGTCCAGTAATGGTCTTGGAAAAAAAGAAACAAAAGCAACCAATTCAAAAAATGAGCAAACGACCTGAATAGACATTTCTCAAAAAAAAAAAAAAAAAAAAGATATGCAAAAGCCATTAGGCATACGAAAAGATGTTCAACATCACTAATCATCAGGGAAATGCAAATCAAAACTATAATAGGATACAACCTCATTTCCATTAAGGTGGCTACTATCTAAACAAACAAACAGAAAATAAGTGTTGGTGAGGATGCAAGTAACTGGAATCTTTGCACAGTTTTGGTAAGAATATAAAATGGTAGAGCCACTGTGAAAAACAGTCTAGTGCTTCCTCAAAAAACTACAACTTGACAGCAGTACAAATGAACCTAGAGGACATTATGTTTAACGATATAAATCAGGCACAGAATAATTCCACATGGTCTTATTTATGTATGGGTGCAAAAATGTTGAGCTCATGAAGTAGAGAACAGAATTGTGATTTTTGGAGTCTCAGAAGGGAGTGGGAGGGGAGGATAGGAAGAGGTTGGTTAAAGAATACAAAATTATTTTTAAAACTAAAAATAAAATTACCATATTATTAGCAATTCCATTTCTGCGGACACATCCAAAAAATTGAAAGCAAGGTCTCAAAATGATGTTTGGATATCCATGTTTATAGCAGCATTATTCACAATAACTAAAATCGGCAAGCAACCCAAGTGTCCCTCAACAGATGGATGGTTAAACAAAATGTGGTATATACATACAATGGAATATCATTCAACCTTAAAAAGAAAGGAAATTCTAATGTGTGCTGAAATACAAATGACTCTTTAGGATATTATGCTAAGTGGAATAAGCCAATCACAAAAAGAAAAATACTGTAGAATTCTACTTATATGAGCTACACAGAAAAGTCAAATTTATAGAGGCAGAAGGTAGAATGGTGGTTGCTAGGGGCTGAGGAAAGGAGAGAATGAGGAGTTACTTTTTCAATGAATATGGAGTCTCCATTTTATAAAATTGAAATAGTTTTTGAGATTGATGATGGTGATGGTTGCACAATATTATGAATGTATTTAATACCACTGAACTGTACACTTAAAAATAGGTAAAGTGGTAAATATTATATGTATTTTACCACCATAAAAACTTTGGAAAAATATAAATGAAAATTTTAAATGTGCCATAAAGAGAATGAAATGAAAAGCCAAATAGCTGGAAGAAGATATGTGTAGTACATATATATGACATGGAACTTATACCCAGAATATTTATATAAATCAACTTTTTTAATTAGAAAAATCCACAAAAAACAGTTGAGCAGTACTGTATTAAAGAGCCAGTGCCTAATCAGCCAACATGAAATGGTGCTCAATTTTACTTATCATCAGGGAAATGCAAATAAAACCGCAATGTGATACCCATACACGTCTTTAAGACAGCTTAAACTAAAAAGATAGAAACTGGAAAGTATCGATGAGGATGAGAAGAAATTGGAACTCCAATACATCATTTGTGACAGTGTAAACTGTTACAACCATTTTGGAAAACAATTTGCTAGTAACCACCAGAACTGAACATATGCATAAACTATTCCAATTCTAGGTGTATCCCAAACAGGAAAGGATAATTGTGCTTACAAACAAGTATGTACAATAATCTCATGATACTGCTAATTGTAGTAACTAAAAATTGGAAACTACCCAAATGTTCGTCAACAAGAAAAGGAAAGAACAAATAAGTAGTGGTAAATTTACACAGTGAAATTATTCACTTATGAGAAAAACATGCACAAATTTCATAAACAAAATGTTGAACCAAAGACACAAGCATATCCAGAATATAATTTATTTGTATAAAATGCTTGAAAATTGGCAAAAACTTCAGAAATCAAATAGCAATACCTTGAGGTGTGGTTAATGATTGAATATGGGCACAAGATTGTAGAGGAGGTCATCTGGGATACTTGTAATGTTTTGTTTTCTGTCTTGTGTGCTAGTTACATGAGTGTGCTCACTTTGTGAAATAGTCTCAAGCTATAAACCTAAGGCTTATCTGTTTTTACATTACCTCAAACTTCAAGAAAGCATTCCATTTCTTGATTTGGGCACTGGCTTCATCGATACATTCACTCTGAAAATTCATGAAGCTGCATATATATGATTTGTGAATTTTAAAGTATATACACTGAACTTCAAAAATAAGTTTAACTAAAATATGAAAGGAAAGAAACAAAACAGGTGATTATATATTCTTCTATCTCTAAATCAGCCATGACATACATAATTTGAAATGGAATAGAAAGAAGCCGCTGGTCCCCTCTCCATGTCAGCAGGAGTACTTCTTATGCCTTTCTCCTACAATCATGACAAACATCTACCTTTGTCATATCTTTATCATTTGCCCTACAAGTTCATGTTTCTGGAATAATGAAGGGACAAGAAAAAGAAAAGGAAAGGTAGGGTTTTAAAAATTGGGGGGACTTATTTGTTTTACTCCCTGAATGCTTTATATTTCCACCTTTTTCCCCTTAGCACCCTTAAACCCAGGCTTCAGCTTATTTGAGAATTATGGTGCAAGTTATTCTTGGTCATTGTTTTTTGCTTTGATTCTTAACATAATAGTATAAACAAAATGTTTAATGTCTAATGGGAATGGTCAATAGAAATAAACCAGATAATCAAATAAGCAAAATTGATTGTCATTTCATAATCATTTCTTGAAATATTTTGAGCAAAATTTGTGAAGGAGTTATCAAACTTTTTATAAACGCCTCCCTATGGATTACTGAATATCTATAAACTATAGAGCTAGAACCCAGAGGAATCAGGGTTAAACTTAGCTGCGTTTAATCCTCAGTTGAGTCTTTAAAAAAACCTCTCTCTCTTAACTTTCAAATCTAGAAATGAAAATAATGGTTCCTTCCAATGAGATGAACTGTAACATCACTTGGTACTTTATAAATTTACTGCTCTTGCTATAATTAAATTATAAATAAAATAATTATAATTATAGATTATACAACTATAATTATAAATGAAAAGCACTTATTATCATAACTTAGGTTTTAACATTTTTTGCTTTAATTATACTAGCATGATTATAGCCTTGTAAGATAAAACGACTGTGGTATAAACAGAAGTGTTTATCCTGGGATTTTTATGATGAAATAAAAACAAAAACATTTAAAAATATTTGCTGTAGATGTACCTATTAGGACACTTTAAAAATTCTTAATACTTTCATACCAGTATTTCATCCAAGTTCTGGGCACTGCTTCCATTACTTTTGCTACAATTCCTTTTATGATATGATTACTGAAATCTCTATTCACTGCCAGGTGCAGGGCTCAGGCCAGTAATCTCAGCACTTTGAAAGGCCAAGGTGAAAGGATTGGTTGAGGCCAGAGCAAAATAGTTAGACCTTCTCTCTAAAACACAAACCAATTTAGCCTCATGTGGTGGCCAGTGACTGCAGTCCTAGATACTCAGGAGGCTGAGATGGGAGAGTTGCTTGAGCCCAGGAGTTTGAATCACTGCACTCCAGCCTGCATGACTGAGTGAGACTCTGTTGAAAGAAAGAAAGAAGAAAGAAAAAAGAGAGGGGGGAGGAAGGAAGGGAGAGAAAGAGAGAGAAAAGAAAAGAGGGAGAGACATTCCCTTGGCTAAAATCATAAAGGAGTTCAGTCCAAAGAAACTGTCCCTTTAGAGTCTCGTGAAAGCTTCTGACCCCCATTTCATGACATTTTAAATTTAAGTATCAACCATGTTTTCCTTCATTAAGTGCCCCAATGTATTATATTGTGCAACTAAATTCTCACTTGACTGCAGTATTTAATCCACTTGCAAATAGGGTTGTAAAGGAATAAAAAATAAGTCACTGAGAAGCATTTAACATAATTTAAAAATCAACAATAAATTTGCCCAAATATTTAATAACATATTAATTTAAACAAGGGTTAGAAAGCATGTTAGTACTTTTTTGAAACAAAAATCAATTCTCCCATTTACTAGCTTCATAGCCACTGTTGACGAACCTATTAGTTTTTGTTTTTCAGCCTTCCCTTTGAAAGAAGCTTAGTAAAAATCAATGAAGTAATATCCAGGATCTCAGTCTCATTAACATCTTCCGGATCACAAATTTCAATTATTCTCTGCCTGAGTTATCACAATGCAAACTGGAGAATGAAGGGTAAACACAAGCAAATGAGATAAAATCTATTAAAAGATCGAGAGACACCAGACACAAATGGGCTAAAAGAAGAAAAAGAAGAATTCAAAGTTATACGTTTTGGTTACACACCGAGAGGTTAGGAAGAACAAAACGAATTGAGATTACCTGTTATAGAAATAGGCGGTTTCTGGGAGCTGTCCAATGTCCTGAGTGAACCATCACAGCCACAACTTACCCCTTCATAGGGACTGATGTCCTCAGCGGTTCTCTTTTGAACCGGAATGTTTCTACATTCATCTTTTTAGGCTGCTTCTTCTACTCTACCTTAAAAATTATCTTCTAATCTGTCACTTTTACCCAATGGGTCTTTTAAGTAAATCTTTACACAGTACTGTGTAATTAAGTAAATATAATTATTGGCAAACAAGGAAAAAAAAGAACCCGTTTGTTAAAATATTAGGGATACTAGAGATAATATAAAATCAGGAAAATCTTATTTTTCTTATGCCAAATTTAAAATTTATCTCAAAAAATAATGACCTAATGATAGCCAAAAGTCTTCCTTATATATAATGCAATAAATAATTGTTTCTGCTCTTAAATCTTAATGTAGGACAACACAAATCAATGAGGAAAATACGCCAGATGGAAGTGTTAGGTTTTTTCTTTGTTCAGAAACAAATACTCGCTCCGCAACTTAAAAGTCGGAGGACTTCTCAGCAGAGGACTCCTTGGCTTATCAAGGGCAAACCGCATTTCTGAAAGGAGCTTGAAGTGGTTTTGTTTGTGGGGAGAGTTTGCAAAATGTCCTGAGCTTAAATTTCTCATTTTATTGCCATTATAACTTTTCCTCTTGGAATAAAATCCTCTATTTTACATGACTAGGAGGTAAAGTAAGGAAAGGAAAGTCAAGTATCTCAATTGTTAAGCTGATTGCCTCCAAACAGACTTTCGAAGTCAGGGTTTGTAACGTGGCAGGAGAGCTGTTTGCGATGCCCTGGAAAGAAAAAGAAAGCCGGTTCCAACAGCGACTCTAGGGAATGCACTCTCGGCCCCCCTGCCATGCTTACTTAAGCTAATGGAAGGTCTTGCCTTTCAGCAGCCGCTGCACTGGGATACCAGACAAACAGCTACCCTCGATCCCAGGCAGGCAGGGCCCCTCTTCAGGACATCATTAAAAGCGCATGCACTTGCTCCACATCCATTGGCAGATGGTGGCAAGATTCAAGACTCCTACCCTGAAGTCAAGGAGAAGCCATCGCGCTGGAAAACATCCTCGCTTTGAAAATCCAAAACGAAATTAAAGAACTACACGAGATAAGGAGCCTAGAGAACATTAGTTGGCTGCAGGGGTGAGGAGAGACACAAAAAGCACAGCAGGTAAGAGCTGGGGGTTTTTGCCAAGAAGGAACTGTCCCGGGTGGCGCAGAGAAAAGGATCTCAGAACTGGAGTCCTGTCCCTTTGAGTCTTCCATGCGTGCTCAAGCTTGTCATCTTCCATAAGCTTCGAGAGGAGGGATGTTGTCAGAGCATTCCTTATCGCTGCGACTAATCCTGTTATCAGCTTGGTGATAAATATTTAATGTTCCCTGGCCCTTCGGTGATGATGCCCCATCAGATTCAAGGCTGTTAAGAATCCCCACCAGCAGCCTCGCTCCTCCCTGCGGAAAACCGATGAGAGGCAGGGCCAAGCCGAAGCGATGGCGGCCTATCCGGAGAGCTGCGTGGACGCCACGGTGCTGGGCTTCGTTGCAGACCTGTCCCTGGCCTCCCCGAGACGCCCTCTCCTCTGCGACTTCGCACCTGGGGCCTCCTTCAGGGACCCAGCCCTTGCGCTCCGAGAGGGAAGACCCAGGAGGATGGAGCGGTTTGAGGAGGGGGGCCCAGAAGAAGAGGACCAGGGGGACGGGGAAGAGGAGGAGGAAGAGGAGCGCGGGAGAGGCACCTCCCTATTAGGCCGCCCCAAGAGGAAAAGAGTGATCACCTACGCCCAGCGCCAGGCCGCCAACATCCGCGAGAGGAAGCGGATGTTCAATCTCAACGAGGCCTTTGACCAGCTGCGGAGGAAGGTGCCCACGTTTGCTTACGAGAAAAGGCTGTCCCGGATCGAGACCCTCCGCCTGGCCATTGTCTACATCTCCTTCATGACCGAGCTCTTGGAGAGCTGCGAGAAGAAGGAAAGCGGCTGAGCCGGGTGGGGAGAGTGCCCCCTCCTCGTCTGGGCGCGCTCGGGCTGGGGTGTGTCGGGACCGGGCGCGGGGTGCGGCCGGAGGGCAAGGAGGGACGCCCCAAGACAGAACGTCTGGCCTTCTGGAGCTCGGGTTAGGGATTGTAAGATCCCCAAGACCCCCGAGCAGAGTGGCTGCTGTAGAGTTCTTACCTACGCGACTACCCGTCCTAAGTGGAGTCGGTGTCAGGGGAGAGCCGGGAAGTCAGAGCGCTTGAGGATAAGGGGCCGTCCAGGCTGCTTCTGTGGGTTGGGTGGGTGGGAAGCAAACCCTCCTCGGAAATGGCAGACTTTGGAGCGTCTATAGAATCTAATCTCTCCTCTTTACCCTTTTTTTTTCATAGAAATAATAATGTAGAAATTCTTACTTTTTAAAAAGCTTCAAGAGTCGGTGCCACGCCATCCCCGGCAGGCGCTCCAGCGGGCGCCTGCGTGGAGGATCTGGAGCAGACGCCCCGAGGGGCTCAGGATCATCTCTCTGGTCCTCCGAGGCGTGTCCAGGAACTGAGAGAAGGGAAAATGGAAGGCAGAGCAGTCGAGGGGAACTGCTGACAAAGTGCGACCTCTGCGAAGGGACATCCTTCCTGTCTTCCTTTGCCTCTTCCTCCCCTACCTTTCTCTCTCCCCTGCGCCAGCCCTCTCTTTCTTTCTCTCTCTCTCTTTCCACCTAGTTGATCCCAGAGGGACCATAGCTCCCTGTCCCAGGGCCACAGTGGTGTGGAGTCAGTGTCTTAGCCAGAGTGCCATTCTACGCTTTGCATCTTAAGTGCAGCGTCAGCTTCCGGTTCCAGTGCCTTCAGGCCCCAGCCAGAGTAAGGGACGAGTGCACTTGGGTCACTTCTGGGCCTGCAGCGGGCCTTGGGCGCCCTATGGCTTAGCCGACAGCCGGCGCTACCAACTCTACCCAGGCCAGGGGTTAGGGGTGTGAAGGGGCTTGGATCTTTCTAGGAGCAGTGCCGCCTGAGCGCGCACTTTGACATTTTTAGCACTAGGGAGGAAAGATGTCTTTCACTCTTATGGCTTCTAGAGACTACCAGGAGAGACAAAAAGTCCAAAGAGGAGACGCGTTCAGACGCCTTGCAAAACGGCTGCCACGCAGAAGTTGAAGCGGGTCCATGCTGAGAGGCTGCCTCCAGTTTGGACCCCACTCTATTCCAGGAATCTTCCTTCTAGGTGATGTGCCAGAACTGGGGTCTTTTAGAAAGGAGGGAGTACCTGAGGAGAGGAACCTGATTGAATAATTCCCCCCAAACGTAAATTTAGTAATCCTAAAGGATAATCCCCAGTGATTATTCCAACACTTTATTTTGCCCCTCTTTATGCACAGGAATAGGCAGGCGCCTGTGAGAACACCTAATTCACTTAATCATGCTTTCAGAAATAGAATTCATTTCATTAATAGGTAATATATACTTCTAGAAAGTCTGGAAAACAAAAGTTCAAAAAAGAAAAAAACCGAATCACCCCACATTACCATATTGTTAGCATTTTCATCTATTTCTTTCCAGTCTTTCTCCCCCCTATGCAGTTATAAATTCAATATATTTAACTAATTCAAGATACTTTGGGATACTGATATTTTTTCACTTGACATTCTAGAAGGTGCAATTGTTTTCCCTTAACTTGAAATATTATTCAAATGTGGTTTTGATCACCATATCTTATTGTCATATCCATGTATCACAACATCAGCCCTTTACAGATAGCTATTTCCTTTTTTAAAAAAATAAATGATGCTGCTAAGAGCATTCTTGTAAATGTCTTCTCTGTCTATTACTATTTCCTAATATTTGATGCCTAGAAGTGAATTTTCTGGATTTAAGTTTGTGGATACAAATGGCCAGATTCCCTTTTTGGTGGGTTCTGCCAGTTCACTCTCCCATCCTCTAGCATTGCAGGAATTTGCCTGTTTCCAAGCCCCATCATTAGTACTTTGAACATTTAAAACTTTTGTTAGTTTTCCTTTCCATAGGACCTGGGTTGGTTCTGAAATGAGCCACTGCTCCCAAAATGTTTTTTTTTACTTTTGCTGTGTCTTTCCACGAATAATTTTTCCAATTCTACCATAAGAAAGAACATTAGGATAAACAGGTAAAATAAAAAAATATAAGCAGCTAACACCAAACAACAACAAAACCCACAGAGTGTTGTTTTTCCTTTTCTTTTTTTTTTTTTTTTGGAAAGAAAGAAAAAAAAAGGAGGGAGAGGAAGAAAGAGGAAGAAAAAGAGGGAGGGGGAACGGGAATGTAGCTTTATTCTAAAAATGGGTATTAATAATGGCCAATCAATATTTTGTGTATTTAAGGTGGAGAATGTATATTTTGTGTTTAAATACACTCCATTTTAAATAATGGAGAGCTCTATAAATATTTATTGAGTTTACTTGTTCTGGATCTGAGTTCAAGTCCTGGATATCCTTATTAATTTTCTGTCTCGTTGAGTCTAGATCTCTTTATGGATCTTATGTATCTAGGTGTTAGGATCGTTAGCTCTTATTGTTGCATTGATCCTTTTACCACTATATCTTTGTTGCTTTGAAATCTATTTTATCAGATGCGAGAATTGCACCTCCTGCTTTTTATTTATTTATTTATTTTTGCTCTCCATTTGGTTGGTAAATCTTTCTCCATCCCTTTGTTTTGAGTCTTCATGTATCTTTGGATGTGAAATGGGTTTGGATGTAGCATACCATTAGGTTTTGGCTGTATCTTTTGATTGGGGGATTTAGTCGATTTAAATTTAGTGTTACTGCTACTTGATGTTAACTGGCTATTTTATCCATTCGTTGATGTAAATTCTTCTTTATGTTGATGCTCTTTACTTTTTGGTATATTTTTGGAAAGGCTAATACTGGTTGTTTCTTTCTATGTGTAATGCTTCTTTAAGAAGCTCTTGTAAAGCAGGCCTGGTGGTAATAAAATTTCTGAGTACTTGCTTGTTCATAAAAGATTTTATTTTTCCTTCAATTGTGAAGCTTAGTTTGGTGGGATATGAAATTCTGGGCTGAAAGTTCTGTTCTTTAAGGATGTTGAATATCGGCCTCTACTCTCTTCTGGCTTGTAGAGTTTCTGCTGAGAAATCTGCTGTAAGTCTGATAGGCTTCCCTTTGTGGGTAACCTGACCTTTCTCTCTGGCTGCCCTTAGTATTTTCTCCTTTGTTTCAGCCCTGGTATATCTAATGATTATGTGCCTGGGGGTTGCTCTTCTTGAGGAATATCTTTGTGGTGTTCTCTGTATTACCTGGGTTGAATATTGTCCTGCTTTGCTAGATTGGGAAAGTTTTCCTGAATAATATCCTGAAGAGTATTTTCCAGCTTGGATTCATTCTCTTTGTTGTATTCAGGTACACCTATCAAATGTAAATTATCCTTTTTTCTCTATTCTTGTCTTCTCATTTTATTTCATTAAGTAGGTCTTCAACCTCTGATATCCTTTCTTCTGCTTGATCAATTTGTCTATTCAAACTTGTGCATATTTTGCTAAGTTTTTGTGTTGTGTTTTTCAACTCCATTAGTTCATTTATATTCCTCTCTATATTGTCTATTCTTGTTAGCATTTCATCAAGCCTTTTTTCAAAGTTCTTAGTTTCTTTACATTGGGTTAGAACAAGTTCTTTTAACTCCCAGAAGTTTCTTATCATCCACCTTCTGAAGCCTACTTCTGTTAATGTTTTTTCTTATTCTTCTAACAGTGCAAGTTCTCCTAGAAATTAAACATCATTCTTAAAAAAAAATCATCTGAAAGTGTTAAATAAGTAAAAGGAAAGAAAAGTAGTTCCAATCTAGGAATTCTTAATATGTTTTTTAAAGAACAAGTTTTGAAAACCAGAAATAAAGCAAAACTGTGTAGCCAGGGACCATCAACATTGCTGGATCCTGAGGAGTAAATACAGCCACACATTGTCCTTAGTCTTCCCCCTCATATTCTAATATATTTTATTCCTAGTAGGCAAATAATATTCCTCTAGTGAATACCTCTTCAACATAGTAAATAATATCTTAAAAACTTCTAAATGAAAGTTATTTTCTTGTTATCACTAGAGGAATTATATCCATCCTTCTATAAAAAAATTTTTAACAGTTTATAAATGCTTTGTATTTGTAAGTTTTACATGTTTAGGAACTGTCTCAAATGCAGTCTTTTAAGATATTTTCAAAATAATTTTAGTCAGAGTAATTTGAAGCCAGGTAAGGATCAGAGACACATATAAAGGGATTGACTTATTCCCTTCATCAAATATCAATAGAGATAAGACAAAATGATCCACATCCTGAACTTAAATAGAGAATACCTCCATATTCTGACCCTTGACTTTTCTACACATTATTTTAACTTTAGTTTTCCTCATGTTAGATCCATAAAATCAGTGTACCTGTAATACAAGAGTTGTGTGTGTGTGTGTGTGTGTGTGTGTGTGTGTGTGTGTGTGTTTTAGATGGCGTCTCACTCTGTTGCCAGGCTGGGGTACAGTGGTGCGATCTTGGCTCACTGCCACCTCCAACTCCCTGATTCAAGTGATTCTCCTGCCTCAGCCTCCCAAGTAGCTGGGATTACAGGCACATGTCACCATGCCCAGCTAATTTTTAATACAAGGGTTTTTGTATGTAACACCCATTATATTAAAATAGTTTTACTGTTTATTATCTCCTAAACCAACATGGATAGAAATATGAGTAGATATTGGCTTTTTAATAACTTCAATCAGTTTTTTTAAAGACCTAATGGTGTCCATTACTTCTAGAAAATTAAAGTAATTTGTTTTTGAAATCTGAAAGTCATTTGAACATGTAGAACATTTAGAATCTGAACACCATCTGAGATGTTGCTTGGAGGCGATCTATTTATATACTCTCTACTGCCTTTTGGTTTCAAACCAAGTTCCCCATAGCTATCAGATTACTATTGGTATTCAGACAAGTAAGTCATAAAAAGATCCAAATGAAATCATATTTGAAGGACATAATTACGCTTTCTGAGGAATCTAAAAATAAACAGAAACCCTTACCAACAACAGGGAGTCATTTAAGCTGATCATCTTTTACAGTTAGTTGCCCAATGTGAAAGCAGATTTTGGCAAAATTAAGTGCTGGAAACTGAACCAAATATTCTGTTAGTATACATAGTTCTTACATGCAGACTTATACTACAATTAAGACCCTTGGATTCGTGTTTATTATCAGATTTGTCAGCCTCTCCATTATGAAACAGTCTTTGGAAAGTGATAACATGGCTATAAAAATTGTGAGACGAAACTAGATAAGCATGATTTTAGAGGACCTTTTTTCTTAATTACAGATCTTCAAAGAAAACTTCTAAGGTAATGAAGCCACAAGTACATTTTACATGTGCAGTTTCGAAATATACCTAAGACTTTAAAAAGAGCCTCTATTTAATAGAAAATATAAATTAGACTATTTTATTTTTATCAAAAAGAACTAGCAGATTAGTATTGAATGTTGAGTACTAACTTGACATTTTACAGGATGATATTATTTCATGAAATTATATTTTAAATGTTTTTGGAAAACTGGTGAAGTTTGCTATATATCATTAACTTGGCACAAGTTCACTCAAAGGTTCCAGAACTTTGCCAACATTTTGGGCAAAGTTAGGCCCAATTTCTGGTCAGCACCCTCTCTTCCTGTGAATATTGGACCAAAAAAGGTTACAAAACAAGAGTCAGCAGTTCTGACCATTTTGTTTTGACTTTGGGGTTTCTTTGAATCCAAAGCTTAAAACCAAACCTGGCGGAGGAGGAGAAGGAAAGAAAAGAAGCAATGCAAAGTGACAGGAATAAAATACCAGAAAGGTGGAAAAACTTCTTTAAGTCTCTATAAACCAAAGCCTATAAATTTTCACATTATCTGTGACAACAAATTTTTAGTTCTGTGTCTATAGCACATTTCTTAAAGCTGTATAAGGAAATGCAAAGAAAAATATGAATGTATTTTAAAACACATTTTATGGCAAATATTTGGTAGAATCCCCCCCCTTAATTTGGCAGAAGGCACGGAACATTCACTATGCTGTGAAATCAAGAATTTAACAAATATGGCAAGATGGAAATGATTATAATAAACTGCCTTAGGTTTGCTTAGTGCTTTACCGTTTTCAAGGCACCACTCACATACTTTCTCTCATTTGATCTTCACAATTGGATTTCCACAAGTTCTAGACTCTCTCTATTAAACCGAGTCATCAGTGTACCATCTTAAAAATTCCTTCACTTCACTACTGAAATCAGCAAGATACTGGGATTCCCAAAAAGGACCAATGGTCACATATAAGCACCATATCACTTTGAAAGATATTGCCTTCAAAGATCAAAAGCACCTTAACACGTTCTGTGGATGATAAATTATACAAAAGGCTGGTTTGGTCTGGCTCCCTCAAAGGCCAAATTTTACAACCTTCTATTTCAGGCTCTGTGAAGGAGATTTCCACCTGCAGCCAACAAATGTAGATGACCTCAAAGCAGCTGTTATAGGTTTTTTATGATTTCCAGTTTTCAAAAGAAAAGAAAAACGTCTATGAGAATTTGGAAATAGATCAAACAGTTGGTGAACAATAGAAGAAAAAACATCATCTAAACGTATTTGAATGAGTGAACGAATGAATGGCAGCACTATTATTTTACTGCAGATAATTTTGTAACTTCTTCAGAAGATAGTAAAATACAAATCTATATTTGATACTGGCTAGATCTTAAGGTGATTGGCTATATTGAATCCCAGAGTTTAGTGAAATATTAGAGAAACTAGAAAGGGTCTCAAGGAGAACAACAAAATCATTGGATTATTGGTTCTGAATGAAATATTATCCATAAAAATAAGTAGTAATATCTGTAATAATATAACAATTTTATTGAAAGCTTATGACAGCACATGTTCTAAACACTGTGCTGAGTCCTTTATATGTAAACACCGTGTTAAACTTGTAAAGTTCTCATAGAAATTTTAGGATATACACTCTATTGTTATTTCCATAGTGATGAGGACACCAAGGAATATGGAAGTTAAATAATTTTCCCAAGCTCAATCAGATAACAAACAGTGAAGCCAAGTAAATTTTACACCCAGACAAGGATTTCAGAGACCAAACTCTGAGAGATTAAGATTATTTGGTGATGATTATATGATCATTATATTTAAGTAGAAATATTGTGGTAAAAAAATGAATAATTGTCCTTATTCTTTGCCGAGTCCTGTGAATCTATAATTATTTTAAAATAAAATTTAAAAATGAAAATAATCAAATAATTACTATGACAATCAGGTAATTACTATGTCAATCCTTTGAACCTATAAAACACCATGGAAATATAAATTATCATTAGCTTTAATGATCCATTCACAGATACTTAACTCATATCCTGTCCTATTGTAATTCTTCTTTAAGTGTTTCATGAAAGTGAAACCAACATTTTGTGCATAGTATTACATGGTTTCTGGAATAAAAAGTGAGACTTACTTTTCCATTATGATCCTAAAGAATATAGCCAAGAACTGAGTGCTTGACTCTGGGTTCCTTGGGCTGCGCTGACCTTCTTGGTCAGCTACATTCTCAAATACGGATTTGTAGTATTTGCATATCCTAATACTGCTGCTTGCTAAATTAGATTACTATCTTAAAACTTAAAACTACTTATACTAATTTGTAAAGTAGAAATCATAAACACAGAACTATTTAAAGACTCAGAAGAGATCATATAAGTACTTAGTACAGCACCTCACACAATATAAATATTTAGCTGATGCTGCTATTGTTTATGCTATTTCAAGGTTGAATGTGTGTGCAGGACAAAATGATAATTCAGCCTCTGTTAAGGGCTCGTGAGAACACATAGAATAGGAATATGAAATACCTGTCCTGCTTCTCTTAAATAGAGTAAAAATCTTTTAAGTAGCATGACATTTTGTGCCCAATCTAAGTTGCTGTCTTAATAACTCATTTTTTTAAACACATAAATTTAAAGGTAAAGCTTCTGGTCCTTGGTATATGGAATCACAATCTTTGGTAGCCAGGAAAATCACTGTAAATGCTAAACCCCTGAAATATTGGCCGGGTCTGGTGGCTCACACCTGTAATCCCAACACTTTGAGAGTCAGAGGCAGGGAGATCACTTGAGGTTGGGGGTTCAAGACCAGCCTGACCAACATGGCAAACCTTGTCTCTACTAAAAATACAAACATTAGCCAGGCCCAGTGGAGTATACCTGGAGTCCCAGCTACTTGGGAGGCTGAGGCAGGAGAATCCTTTGAATCTGCAAGGCAGAGGTTGCAGTGAGCAAAGATGGTACCATTCCACTCCAGCATGGGTGACAGACCAAGACTCCATCTTAAAACAAACAAACAAAACTCTTAAATTTGCATATAAAGCTTTTTATATGAAAAGGTGACCATGCATTTGGTAAATCCTCTGGGAATTTATTTTTGAATAAATAAACTACCTTATCTAGGATGATACGAAATCTGAAAACCTAGAACTCACTCAGCCTGTTCAACTGGAAATGAGGGGATATGCCATGCTTTGTTGTAGGTTCCTTGAGATATACATCTCTGCCTACTCAAAAAAGTTAAGAAGTTTCTACCTGACTCCCACAGAATCAGAGAGGAAAACAGAAAGGCCTCTTCTTGGTGCATCAGAGAGGCAATATGAGTCCCTAAGTGTGTCTTTGGACATCCTATGTTATATGTGCCATTTACAAAGTCTTTAAAAATTTGACACCTAACCTATCCTCTTTATACAAACAGATTTTTTTTGTTTTCTGTTTTTTTGCAATTTAACATTAGTGGCTTTATACAATATCATGGCGAAAGCTTTGTATTCTTTAGTCTAGGTTTACCTGCAATCTAAAAAAGAGTTTGTGCAAAGATAAAATTGGCCTTAACTTGCAAATAATCTCTCAACATTTAAAAATGCATACTCTTGTTACATATGTAGCATTTTATATAATACATTTTTTGTATTTTAACTTTCTTTGCCTAGAAAGTTAAAAGAAGAATTATTAAATATCCCATTTCTTTTCAAATCTTTGATTCAACTTCAAGTGGCTCATTTGAGGGTTGATGGTAAAGAGCCTTCTGAAATTTACTAAAATGTTTCCAATTTGGGAAACATACCCAATTTCAAATTTTCTGACCACCGGTTCATATTTTCGGCCAAAAAAATGTGGTGAGTATAGTTAACAAGCATTTGACAAGTAGTGGTTTTGTTAATTGTAGATCTTATTGAACAAGCCATGCTATTTCTTTCATCACTATTTATTTGCCTAATCTCACCGAAGCCCATTAAAATTAAAGCAGATGAGTTCAGTTAGAAAATATATATTGGATGCCATTTTGTTTTAGATGACAGAACCACAAATTAAATTTCATACCCTTTATTAGTATACTACATTTCATCAAATTCAGTCAACTGCTTCTAAAGTTAACATAAAACAGGCTGAAAAAGGCTCCAAACTCAGAGCATTACATAACACAACACAACAACTTCTTCCCAAATTACATGCACATGAATACATGCATCATACTTCAATCCAAATCTCAGGGTCCTTACACTGAACACCCTCAGAACTTCTGCTTCTCAATTCAACAATCCCCCTGCTCCATGCTATTTGTATGATTCACATACATGGAAACATGCAAAACAAAAGTATTTCCATCAGAGTGCCTTCACGTGTATTTCAGAATGAATTGTGGATATTTAAAGTGGTTTCTTTCTGTTTGATTTCGTTTTTGTTTTGAGACAGTCTCACTCTGGTGCTCAGGCTGGAGTGCAGTGGCATGATTTCAACTCACTGCAGCTTCTGCCTCCCAGATTCAAGCAATTCTCCCACCTCAGCCTCCCAAGTAGCTGGGATTACAGGCACCTGCCACGATGCCCATCTAATTTTGTATTTTTATTAGAGAGGCAGTTTCACCATGTTGGCCGGGTTGGTCTCGAACTCCTGACCTCAAGTGATCCACCTGCCTCAGACTCCCAAAGTGCTGAGATTAAAGGCATGAGCCACCACACCTGGCCTGTAAATTGTTTTTATTCCTAGCTCAAACCTTAGAAAGGGTTGACTTTTCTTCCTTTTCCTCCATAATTTGCTAGATAGTTTTACTCTTTTTTAGTAATAGATGTCTTTTACTTGAAGAATTTATGTCTTAATAATAAGAATTATTGAATGTTCCATCTATTGTAACCAAAACAGGTATTTAAGTGAGCATCAGTATTTTTCTACACACTGAAAACAAGCCCAGGAATTTTGCTAGGTCTTCACCAAACATTGGCACTACATATGTATATCAGGTCTAAATATAACTACTAAGACCAACAGCCAGACAGTGGTAGAAATGAAAGTGTCTGGAATTGCTATTCTGAAAACTTACAGAACACTCATTGATTAGATGAGGGTCATTGACTCAATGAGAAAAACAGAATTTTTCTTGGGAGTAAGACTGTTTTCTCTTAGGGATATTCAAGAGTATCTGAGGTTCAAATAATTTACCATATCAAGAAGGGCTTCAAGAATGCTCTCTGAACCTTGGCTCTGATTAGGAAGATCGAAGTCATATTTATAATATTATGACATTTTGTGTATTCTTACAACTTCCCTACAAAGATTTCACTTATAGGAATTTAGCCTAAAGAAATAATCAAGATCATGCACAAAGATGGCACTACAAAACATGCACCTCAGTATTGTTTATAATATAAAATATTATAAATATGGAAAACAGCATAGATGTCTAAAAAAGTATGTCCTTAATTAAAATTGTTGCATCAATTAAAAGGATGATTTCTCAAAATATTTTGTACTACAAAAAGGTAAATCCAAAAATTGATGAGAAAAAAGTATTTTATAAAGCAATATGTAAGGCATAATTTTATTTTTGCTTCATATTGGAACATGTGTAAGTGTATGTATATGCATGTTTTTATATCTATAAATGTAAATGTTTATTTTATATATGCTAGAAGGGGATTGATCATTTTTTGTGCTCATTTGTGTTTTCCTGGTTTGTAATCAGGGCCATCCTTTTGTAATCAGAAAAATAATAAAGCTATTTTAAATTTAAAAAGAGCAACACAACAGTACAATTTATGTCTACTCTTAGTTGAAGAGCAGGATCTAGTTACCTAGGTGAGAACTCTTGCCTTTTTAACTCTAAAATATTTAAAGGAGTTATTTAAGATGCTTAGAAGTTATATTCTGTAACTTTTTTTTTGTTTTGGATGCTAGAAAGTAAAACGTTACCAGCACACTACAGGCCCTCTTCCAATCATTGCCCCTCTCTTCTTGCAAGGATATTCAGTATCCTGACTTCTAACAGCCTAGAGTAGTTTCCCAGTTTTGGTATTGTTTTATATAAAAGAGATCATTTGTTTTGGGAAAAGATCAATTTTCATTTATAAATCTGTCTTCAACAAAGCATGTATTCTGACAGTTTTCCCAAAAGAGGAAGTTAAAATTAATTAGAAAGATAAGGATTAAATTTACTATTAAATACTCAGACTTTAAAATTCTAAAGGAAAACCATTTAACAAATATGCGCTTTCATTCTGACACCGAAATGGAAATTTTGACTAAATGTTATGATGTTTCATCTAAAAAACAATTCAGTTAATCTATACTTTACACACAAACACACACACACACACACACACACACACACACAGCCCCCTTCCCCCAGATAACAGTAATCTTTGCTAACACTAAGTAATTTATTGACTAGTCATTAATACTCGTCACATTTCTAATGAAATTCCAGATTTTTAAACAATTAGTAAACAGTTTTGCTTCCTACTTAGCCCCAGTGCGTGTGTGTGTGCGTGTGCATGTGAAGATGCATAGAAATTGTGCAACATTTAATATTTACTTTCTAAAAGAATATATTAGAACTTGATAAATTTGATCTCCAAAAGCTTTTACAAATTCATATTCACATGTTCATGTGCATATTCATTTGACATATTTTGCATATTCTTGTTTGAAAACTCAGCCACAGAAGAAAAAAAATCAACTTTTCTAGCATAAATAATTTCAAAGTATTTAAAATTTGAACTGCTTTTAATGACTCATATTGTTTTAAACGTGACATTTTATCCCCATTAGCAATAACAGATGTCTAATGCATTAAAAAGGAAAATCCTGCACATGTGTTGAATTAGAGGACTTTACTGAAAGGAAAGCATGTGCTTTGATTTATATTAGTCAAAATTTAGATACTGTACTTGGTGCTATTACAGGAAATGAAAAGGTGAGGAAACAGTCATATACCAGTAAACCAGAACAAAAAATCTCCACAGAAACCAAAACAGTTTGCCATTTATGCTAAATTAATAGCCAGAATATGGTCATATTAGCCCCAAGAGAGAGCTAATTCTAACAAAACAAAACCCTATCCATTGATTCATGTGCATTATATCGTATTTACAATTATTCTTTGTTCACATTTAATTGTCCACAATTAATCAGTTAATTCTGTAGGCAGAGATTATGAAAATTTGGGTAAATTCTAAGAAGAAAAAAAGTCACAAAAAACAAATGTTTACTTAGTGTTCTCTGATTCTATTATCTTCACTACTGGTGAAAAGGAACACAACGGTTAAATTCAAAAATAATGAGCCATAAATCCAGTATTATTTGTTTGGCTGTTTTTGTTTCTGCTTTTATAGGCACCTTCTCTCTGGCAGACTGTTCCACTGAGCTGTTGCCACCCCCATTGCAGTCAGTGCAGACAGAGGCACCTCAAAGCCAGGGAACAGAGCAATTAATCCACGGGAAAACTACTGGTCACTAGCTGTTTACATAAGTTACATCATTCAAACCTCACAAAGACTTACTAAAAAGTATATGAATTTATCCACCTTACACATAGAAAAACAAATTCAAATTAGTTAAAATAGCTTGTTCACACTGAGACAAAGGTGGAGCCAGATTTTGACGCAATTGTCACCTTCTCTAGAGGTAACCTTGACAAATGTCAATATAATGACAGCTCCACACCCATAATAATTAGGCGTAGGTTTGTGTAAAGCCTACAATCCTTGCAAATACAGTCCAGAATTGCTGGGGTGATCAGCAATTTACAAGCACAAACAGAAGGACTCCTTTACAAAGTTGCTGTTAGTGCCTCTGTTTTTCCACTTACACTATTTTTCAAAGTGTATCTGTTGCTACTGAAATGATTTCTACTTTATAAAATTTGTATAATGTTTCCTACTGTCATTTTATATATTAGTACTGCTTCATTTTTGCAGAAAGAAATAGTTCCTTTAGTCTGAATTGGACTATATCTTAAATGCTTGAGAAATACATCTATGTTTTTGTGTATCTGTATGTGTATGTTTTATATATATATATATATATATATATAGCATCCTCCTGCCTGTGCTATAATAAAAAGATTGTTACTGTAACACCACATTAACACTTGTTCTTTTCTTTAGGTGATACATTTTATTAGAGTATCTACTTCATTATTAATTATAAATACTTTAGCTCACAACATAACATTATCATATTCATGCCTGGAACATGAATATGAGAGAGAGGAAAAAATATGACTATTAGATAAATCCATTCTGTGTTTTAACTTGTCTTCTCCACTACAGTCAAATTTGATATGAATACATTTGCGCAATTTAATTGAGATGAATTTCTAAAGGTTACATTTGAGAATTATAACGAACATTTATTTGAAAAGATGTTTGTTTCATTATCTCAACAAAAGAGAAATACAACTTCTGAATGAAAAAGTAAGACTGTTTCGTGTCATATGCAGTGCCATTATTTTAAAAGAACTTCAAAGTTATACTGTCATAGCCAAAGAGCCCAAATCAACTACAAGAGCAGCACTGAGGTCAGAGATGCTAAGAGTCCTGGCCGAGAAGACAGTGTGAACACAACCTAAGTAAACTTTTTTTTTTTTAAGAGGAAAGGACATTACTCAGACAAACAGTAATTATCAGTCTAAGGTCAGGGGGAAACCTTTTATGGAGGCTCACACAAAATGTATGACCAAATGGATCAAGTGACAAAAGTGAACACAATTCTCAAATTTATGGCATTTAGTTCAGAACTAGAGGTTCTCTTGAAATAAAATTCCAAGTATTGGGAGAACTTCCAAGTCAGATGATGTGATTTATAACATTTTCTTCATCAGCTTTAATGCCATTATTACATCCTTGATTTTGCAGATGTTCTTTAAGAGTACTTCACTCTTTCATAAATCTAATATTTTTAATACTCTGACTGATTTGCTACAATTCAGCTGTAGTTGCTTTTTAATGCTCCTATATCATTAGTAATTGGCTTTCAATGTATTTACTGTATTACCATTCTACTAGTTGTTCATTTATCATCCATGACACAAGATAAGTAGCTATGCATAACAAAAACTTTTTAAAAATCATTGCTCTCTTTCTCTCTGTTCCCTCCTCCTTGTCTCCATTCTTTTTTCCTTTTATTAACTACATTTCCTATGCTAGCACATAAAATTAAAAGTTTCTTTAAGATTCTTTTCTTCCAAAAAATGAATGCAAATTATATTTTCTACAGAAATTATAGAGAAAGAAAACATGAAGATGTATTTTATTTCAGCTCAGTGAAGTTATTGGGCTACATAAACGTCTCCTTTGGGAAAGAGGGGTTGACAAAATGATCAAGAAGGTGAACAATTTCCTGATTCCCCTTTCCCAAGTCAAATGTTCATGGTCATTCTTATGTGTAGCCCTAAACTAAACAAGCACATAAATGTCATAGTGAAGAGAGAGTGAAAAGTAGAAATAATGTAGGCTCAGTTTACATTTAAATTGGACTGGATCAGATTGAGTTTTCTTGCTCTATTCAGCATCCAATTCTTGTGCTAACTTTCATTACCAATTTAATAAAAATCTATCAAATATTTATGGGATGCTTACCATGGACTTGGCTCTGCTCAGAGCACAGTTTTCTAGTTTGGTTAGGAATCTCTGCCTAAAATGAGTTCATAGCAGAATGAGGGACAAGTATTTGGCTAACTTGAGTAGATATTGGACGAGATATGTGGGGAATTAGTAACATGAGCCACTAGGATTGAATAGAAGAAATACAGTTAATACATTGTAAGTTCTATACTATTTTATACTTAAATGCCCATAACTTGAGATTGCAGGAGAGAGCAACATTGGCAGGCAAAATAAAATGGTGTATAACTAGCATAAAGAATCTGAATAGAATTAAAAGAGTAAATTCTAACTTTCAAACCAAATTTAAGACAAGGATCATGCCTAATTTCTTCACCACATGAGAAAGAGTCTGTTAGTTATCTGACCATATTTATTCTCCCATTCTTTTATCAGCAATAGAACCTGCAGAGGTTATGCTAAATATGGCCATCCAGCCATAGCAATTTCACAGCCTCACTTGCACTTAGCTGTGGCAATGTAACTAAGATCTAGCAATAGGAAATGAGCGCAAGTCACATATGTAATTTTTTAGGTAGTTTTCCCTAAGAAAAGCAAGGGGGCATGTCTTCCCCTTGCTTTTCTCCTTTCCCATTGGCTAGAATGCAAAATTAACATGAGACCTGGAGTGGTCTCTTGGTCCATAAAATTGAAGCCACATTCTGAGAATGGAAGAGCAAGAAGTTAAATTTCCAACCTGGCTGAGCCACTGCTACACCAAGCCTGTACCACTTATCCACTTTTTAAAATAAATAATCACCTTGTTTAAGCCACTATCTTTTGGGATCTTTTTGTTATAGTGTCATAACCTACCTAACATATTTCTTCATCCCTGGTGCCTTGAGGTAGTGACTGACACATAGTAAGGTCTCATTTAACATCATAAGCCACCAAGGAATAGAATGTTTCCAAACTACACAGAAGATTTTTAAGCCAATGGCCAGGATACAAACAGGCAAAGACCAAGCTGAAATTCTTATGAGCTTGTTAGGCTGACATGAGGGAGGGGTGCTATACACAATGCCTTTTTTCCACTCCAGCTTATAATACACTTCAATTCCTGACACCCTCATTTCATCTCACAAGGTACTATTCTGATGTTTTAGACCAGAAAAGTAATCTAACTATATAAAATGAAAGAGAACATGACATGTGATGGAATAGAATGCAGTTGTATATATTATGAAATACAACTCAAAGTTATGTTTATTCCATAAAAGTATGAACAGTGTAAATTTAAATGCAATAACGTTTTCCAAAAACATAGTAAATGATATCTTATCTAAATTCAAATTTTAAAATTATAAGAAATTTTGCCTGCTTTTAGATTATGTCTGCTGAGACTTTCTCTGACCGTTCAAGTCAATACTATCAGATTTAAACTAATAGCATTAAATTACAGATGATGATGGTGATGCTTGAATGGTTAATTATCATATCTTTAACTCCAATGAAGGGCAAGAAAGCATTCCAGCTAACCATGTCTTCCATTTAAGATTTTGTTGAGCTCAATGACTCTCTCAAAAGAATGTCATCTCCCTGGTAACCTAAATTATAGCATTTTATTATCAAATTTCAGGGATCATCATCTCAAATCACTTCTCAATAATTTTCAATGTATCAACTAAGAAAGATAACATTTACTAATGATGACTGGAAGAATATATATCACTCTAGACACTCAAAAACCTACAGCGAGATTAAACCACACAATCAGAAAGGATTAGCTTTTGGTAAAAATTACTTAGAGTAATTCATTTTTGCCACCATATTGTAAACCTATATTAAGTGACGTTATTTAAAAAAAAAAAAAACAGCTCTGGCCAGGCATGGTGGTTCTCACTCATAATCCCAGCATTTTGGGAGGCTGAGGCAAGTGAATTCCTTGAGTCCAGGAGTCTGAGACCAGCCTGGGCAACATGGCAAGACCCTGTCTCTACAAACAAACAAAAAACAGTTCTATGAAACGTAGTGGGTATTTATTTAACATGCACATCATCAAGAAGTCAAGGATATTGTTCTTGATTACATTTAGTGCTTATTTCTCCATGACATTAAGTGGAAAAAATTTTTTCAGGTCACAATTCCAGGAATAGTTGGGATTCTTCTGGACAGTGCATATGTGTGTACACGTATTTCCTTAGAGGCCCTATGAATCTTCACAATTGTTTGTAAAACTGTTCATATCATTTACTAGACTTTCATAGAACTAGTTGCCTGACCCACCACTGTAAAATACATGACATTTAATATACATTCTGAGGCTAGTTCAGCTAAGTTTTATATTCTTCATATTCTTCTGATTAATTTATCTCACTTGTCTTTATGCTCTTCTTGCTGATTTTTTAAAATTTATGTTATCTATCTCAAATCCATTTCTGGAATTAAGTTTATATTTACAAATACATGAATACTTTCATAAAATATGCTTCTTGTTTAACAATGTGTAGTTTACTTTTGAACTTACTCTTGCTGTCTTTTTTTGTAACAACTGATTAAATTGAAATGTCTATGTTTACTTGTATCATTGCTCACCACAGTTCTTGGAAGTAAGATTCTCAATAAGTAAAAGATATACTTGACTTTGTTTTTATAAGGGGTCAAAATGGTATTTTCATAGTCATTTCACACTTCATGTAGTAACACACAATCTTAGCTGGATATATGAACTGCCTGAACAACATTCTTTTGACATTTGTTCTTTATGGAGAAAGACTAAAAATCCTGTTTTTATTCCTTTATAGACAAATTATTTTCTCTGCCTGGATGCTATAGGATGGCATCTTCAATGGTCAAAATTTTTCTGGGAATATTTATGGATCTGAGTCTACTTTCATTAACTTTGCTTTCATTAACATTAACAGAGTACAATGTGCTATTGTAAACGCTGGGTTTTTTTCCCCCTACTCTGCAGAATTTTTTCTATTATATTGTGCATGGTTGCTTCTTCTCAATTTGTCCTAGTCTTTTCTTGGGGAAAGAAATGATCTCCAATTTCACAAATATTTCCCTTCTTAAAATTTTACTCTCTCCATTAATCCTTATGCCCCTTCCTTGTTTTATTATTTTTCTTCCTAGAGGTGGTCACCATCATTTTTAGTTTCTCTTCCTCCCTATGGGAGTGAGTCTCAGAGACTCACTCCCATAATGATCTCCTCCAATGACATAGCTTCAAATGCTACCCATGCTGGTTAATTACAAATTCTATCCTAGAGCTCTCAACCCAGAGCTCTCTCACAAACTTGACACTCACATATTCAACTGCCTGCCCAACAACTCCACTTGAATTTTTAGCTGACAACTCAAAGTTTATATATCTAAAACTGAACTCTTTTTCTCCCTTGAAATGTGTTGCATTTACAAACCTTCTTCATCTCAGTAGTTGCCAACATACTCTTTATTTTGCATAGATCAAAAGACAGCATCATCCTTCATTCCTCTCACACACACCTCATGTCTTACCTTTAACAAATCCTGTTGGCTACTTTCAAAACATATCTGCAATCTTATCATTTCTTTACAACTCCAGTTCTACCACTACCACTCAAGTTCAGGTTACAATCAGCTCTTATCTAGATTACTGCAATGGCCTCCTAACTTGTTTCTCTGTTCCCCCAAAGAAAAGCCACTACATGCTATAGACACTGACCAATTTCCAGGTCAGAACTATTACTGCTGCACAAGAATGCTGTGGTCAACTGAATACTCCTAAGTTCTAAGACTCCTGATGGAGTGACATTGACATATTATGACTAGAATGCACCACTCCTTAAATGTTTGTATAATCCTGAGAAATCAGAAGACAGAATTGATGTTTTCAGCAGTCAAAGAACAAACTCCTTTCCTATTCTAATTACTACAGCCACTGATTGGGCACTCCCTTGGTATTTTCTCCCAACTGTTTTATTACACAAACCTCTGTGTTTTGAAACTACACAGGTAAAACATTCTTCTTGTCCAGTTCAGGCTCAACTAATTTAATTTATTCTTTGCAAAGAACATAAACCAAATAATTTACAGATGGTGTCTGCTTTATTGTAGTTCTTTTTTCATCTCATCAATACTTATACTGTGTCACATCCTTCTGGTTCTATGATACAAAATACAATATTGTCCCAATTATTCATTATTGTACTTGGGCAAGCAAGGGCCAGATATGTTCATTGGGTAATTCCAGGATCCAGAAAGAAATATTCTCTAAATTAATATTTTTAAAGAAGTGTTTTTAATCTCTTATTTTGAGTAACATATATTACTTAGTTTTATTATTTGTGTATATTAGCTAAATGCAGGTTTAAATTAACACAGAGGTAAATTGATAAATATTTGACCTATGGAAGACCTGAACTTCTTGTAATTCTCTAAAGAGAGTAATAATCAATATACAAGAATTAATGAAATATCTATTTTGCACACTATGGAGTCCATAAGTAATATGAGAAGAATCTGTGTTCTCGTGGCACATAGGCTACTTAGGAAGAAAACATTAACACTGAAAGGGACTCCAGTACGAGCCACTGAATGCCAAATTGTGCTACTGCAAATCTTAGTGCTACAAACTCTGGCAATGTCATCTCTGTTAGAGCTTTACGAACTGTCCTGCATGCAAATCAACTTCCTACTATTGTTGAATATCCAGTCTGTCAGTCTTGGTGGGAGACTGCTCTCCTCTCATGATCACTTGGATGAAGGAGAGAGTGAGTTAAGAAAAACAGAGGTATTGATGATGGCTCTTAGGCTCCTAAGCTAAACAATTAGAGAAACAATTTACTAAAATTTACGGATTTGCAGGGGTGAAAGGAATCGGTTATGTGAGAGTGGCAGTGAGTTTGAGATGCCTGTGAGGATCCCACATTGTGGTATCAAGTAGATAGTTAAATATGATAGTCTTTACCTTGGCAAAGATGTGGCCCAGTATAGAAGTTGAAGAAATCGTATGTGTCGTGTTGCCATTCGTTTACAGGCAGGACATAGATAAATTATAAAACTTCTTCCAACTAATGTCCCCAGTGTGCACTTCATGTCTTTGGGTGGTAATGTATGGATTTAGAAATAGCTGCTTTTCAAACAGAAATGGCTCATCAATTAATTTCCTCATTTGCCCTTTAAACTCCAACTTTTGCCTTCAGAATTGAGGGCAAAGCTTCACCTCAGTCTACAAGGTCTTGCATAACTTAGTTCTCAATAATATCAAGCACACATCAAGTACCAGGCACCATCTTAAGGGGTTAGCACTTAGAAATTTAATCATCATAACAACTTAATGATGTACATTATTTTTTCCCTCTCACAGGAAGCATGAAGGGCTAAGTAACTTATCCAAGGTTAAAAAGGTAGTGAGAAGTTGAGCCATATTTGAACCCAGGCTGATTACCTCTAGAATCCAGGCTCTAATCCACTACTGTACTCTCTATAGCCACTCTGCCTTGCCAGAAAAGGAAGAGTTGCTCTGGATTTCTGAAACCTCTTCTAGCTCCAGTATTCTATGATTTTATTTAAGTGCATTTTTGTAAGCAGTTTCTCCAGTCCTCAGTTGTGATGCGTTAAGAACTTTACTGGTGGCTCACATCTGTAATCCCAGCACTTTTGGAGGCCGAGGCAGGTGGATCACGAGGTCAGGAGTTTGAGACCAGCCTGGCCAATATGGTGAAACCCTGTCTCTACTAAAAAAAATACAAAAATTAGCCAGGCATGGTGGTGCGTGTCTGTAATCCCAGGTACTTAGGAGACTGAGGCAGGAGAATCGCTTGAACCTTGGAGGTGGAGGTTGCAGTGAGCTGAGATCATGCCACTGCACTTCAGCCCAGTGACAAAACAAGACTCCATCTCAAAGAAAAAAAAAGAATTTGACAATAAATTAAAGTAGAATTATAATCTAATTTAATCTGAGGAGATTACCTAGATTCCTTTTTGCTCTATTTTTATTCTGCTTTCATTCTATCAAATTATTCCAACAATAAGAACCTCTACTATACCTAGTAATCCCTGGAATGATACAAGATAAAGCAGTTGTGATTGCTACTGTACTCACAGGTAAAACTGGATAATCTTTCTGTCATACCAAATTTTCTCTTAAAATTCTTTCTCTCCCATTTAAAATATATGTTACATTTTCCATAAAATTACCATAGAATATTTTAATGAATCTCTATTTAAAATCTGGGTGCCCAACTTTCATATAAGAATCAACATAAAGAAAATAACAGTGAATTGATGTTAGTTATATGAATCTAGAAGTAGAGTTTATCTTTGTTCATAATTAAATCAGATTGTAGTATATTTTGGAAGATGTCCCAATTAAAACAAAATAAATTAAGTATGATTCATTTCCAGTATCTACTTGCTCCTCAGATTGTCCAAGTCTTCTCATGTTGTTGAGAATTGATATCTTTGTTTTAATTGATACATAACTATTACTTTTCTCTGGCCCAAAACTTGACTGTAAAGTTAAAATTAAGGTTGCGTATGACCATTAGTGGATATTTTTGTTTTCCCAGTCTTCATTTTATATACTTCTTATTTCCTGGAAATGTTCCTACTTTTGAAGACAACTATATCTATACTGCCCATTACAGTTAAAACAAAGAGACTGTGCAATACCCTTTGTTCCTACCTCACATCTGATAGTGAAATAGAAGAGTATGTCTTATTGATAGACATAATTCAAGGGTCCAAGACCTTTCAATTGACAGAAATTAAGACAGTGAGACAAGACCAAGCGGTTTGTTATTTTTCATTTTCTCAATGTGCTCTATCTATCTAGAACTGATCTCAAAAGACAGAACTAACAGTTTCAGCCACACTGTTAAGTCCCAGCTGTGGACAAAAGCATCTGCTCTGTATCTCTCCACTCATCCTCCATTCATGCTTATCCTTATCTTTGGACCTCAAGCACAGCATCAGCAGGAAAGATTGACATAGGGAAATAGGGAGAAAAAAACCATAGGACATGTTAGCAAATAAAAGGCATGGAAATCCTGAAAAGGCCCATGGTGTCAGGCCAATCCCTACATTAGGAAAATAGCAAAGCCCTTAGAATCACAATCTTCATTTTCTTCACAATTTTTCCTGCCTTTCAGCTTCCTTTAGGCCTGGCCTCCCCAACACGTTCCAGTATCCTCTTGCTGCCTGAGTCCCCCTTTCTTGAGAAAAACAACATACAATCAAATTTGTTCAAAGATATTAGTGATCCCATGTGCTGCCTCACATTGGGGACTTTGTGATACAAAAGAGGAACTAGAAAGGACAATGCCAGTCCCAAATTAATAAGTTACCAGTGACAGATTTAAAGCATGACTTTGGGAAACATAGGCAGCATTTGGAGGGAGTCCCTTTTATTCCATTCAAAACACTTCATTGCCTATTTTAATCACTTTTGGCACGGAAGTTTAGTCCCACGGTTGGCCACAAGCAGTGTCTAGAACAAAAAGAAAACTTATTCTTATCAGCTGAGAAAATGCTTTTGGGTTACAAAAAAAAAGCACAGAATTTGCCTATGGCTGAATTATAGAGTTATAAATGAAGCAGCCAGAAAGAAAAATATTTTATCTATAAAGCTGGCTATTTAGACTAGATGATTTCTAAAGATCCCTTCAAATTTAAATGTTTTTAAACTTTTTCAAATTACTAATTTAATTACTTCATTTTACATCTTGGGAAACTAATATTTGGCATCAGTTCTGGCAGCTACCCTCTCCCATTTCACCCCCACCCATACAAAAAGTCTTTCCGTGCTCCTGAAAAAGCCACGCTTGCACATGGCTCTGTGTCTCACCCACACTGCACCCAGAACTCGTAAACTTTTTTTCCCCCTTCTGTTTCTACTTCTTACCTGGTTCACTACCACTCATCCTTCAAGACTAAAGCTGAACTACAGTGTCCTTCAGAAAACTGCAATATACGCTTACTATAATTTTTATGAAGAACTATTTCTACTAAAAAAATCAGGGAAACAAGAAGAGATGAATTTAAGTACAGAAACAAGTAGCATGAGAGACATCTTAAATATCAGTGGTGTAAGCAGACCAAACAGGAAGAGACAGAAAGACCAAGTAAGCATGAAACTGTCATAAAGCTTGTAAGGAAGCTGCTATTCATGAAGCACTCATACTTATGAGGTCTTAAATAGGCTATTTGTTATGGACATTCAATATGGGCCACTAGCCCTCTGGCTGACAGAAAGATAAAATCTATAGCTGCTCACCAGGCTATGTCAAGTCCCAACTATGGACAAGAGCATCTGCCTGTGTCTCATCCTCTATTCATGTTTATCTTTAACTTTGAACCTCTTCAAAGTTGATATCAATCTTCAAAGAAAGGGAAGATTGATATAGGAAAATAGAGAGAAAAAAAACCTAGGACATGTTAACATCATATACAACAGGATCTGGGTAGCGTGATCCTTCCTGCCTATTTGCAACCTATCCTAGTATATTAAACTCGGCTATAGATTTTCCTTTTTTTGCTGTATGCTTCAGATTGACTCAATAAACCATGTGACATGTCATGTGTATCTTAATTTGGTCTGTGAGGCTTTCTGTGCCTTTCTGTCTGGGACAGTTTTCCTAGAAGTGTATTTGGCCACCACCATGGCACTAAGGTAATTCTCCAATGCACAAAGGCACTCATCACCTCAGTCCAGGTTTGATGTCCTTCCTTGGCTTTCTGTGCAAACACATATCATAATACTTAGCTTCCTATGTTACAAAATTGTTTTCATAATTTATTTCCTATAATACTGTTATGTATTTGTCAGGGACTAAACTTTCCTACTCAGATAACCTAAGAGACATTGATACATTTTTGTTAAATTACAAAAGAATCAATAAATCCATTGCAGTTAACTAGTGCCAGTTGAAACCAGATTTCAGATCTCCCAAATGCACCATTAGGCAGAACCAGAACCTTACAATGTCTCAAGGTCTTGAGTAGAGTGAGAACAAGACTCATCACTTGCCGTGCTTTTTCTAAGGTATCTGTGGTGAGGAGGGCAAAGATATTGACCCTAGCAAACAAACCACCAGGAAAAACACAGTTTGACTTCTAATGTGCAGATCAAATGGAAAAGAACATCATGTCCATAGAAAAATGATGACATCAGTATTCCCCCAGATGAGATCCGCCCTGAGATCCAGTAATGACAACATATTGGCATCTTTCAGAGCTCACCCAATAGATGAACACCAACCTTAATTATAAATTTAATGGTTCTCTACCTGTTTTAACTTTGGTATGACTTAGGCAACAATTACAGGAATTTTTGAATCTAAATGTCTGTATCAAGGGACAGGTAGTATCTTTGATCAGAAACAGAGGAAAATAAACCTGGTGCTTTTACATTTCTCTCAAATGCATCAATTTCTTTCTTTCTTTTATCATGTAGGCCTTTTATTCCTTCTATATACAAAGTCTCCTTCTCTATCACTCTTGCTCTCTTGTTTGAGTTCTCTCACCATCTCTCTCCAGATTCTGCTTCATTTCTCTTGATCTCCTTATTTTTCTTATTTCTTACTCTTTCCTTTTTCTTTCTTTCCTTTTTTTTTTCAGAGTCCTTGCTCACTCACTCTAGCAGGGTCTCAGAGAAAATAATCAGGGATGTATCTGCAGGAAGATACAAATGCAAAGCAAAAGCATTTAGTTCCAAGGAAAGCAGGATTTCAAAGCCTGCTCGTCCAGCAATTCACCAGAACCATGAACATCTTCAGAAAAGTATCAAGCCATAATCCAATTTAATTTACAAAGAAATCAAATATTCTAAAATGTTTCTGAGAGAAGGCAGTAGAAAAGAGGAAGGATCTCTTAGAGATTGTGTATAATAATTCTGAGAAAGTGTTGAGAGTCAGTACCTTAACATACCACATTTTCCATGTATCTGCAAAATAATTTTAATTATTAGCCTAACATGTGCATTAAAATATAAGTGGAAAAGTATAAAACATAATTTTCATGGTTTTCAATGTAAAGACAACCCAAATGTCTGAAGTAAAAATTCAGAGTGTTAATGGCATTTTGAAAAATCGTTTTTTAAACTGTTTTTCATTGCCAAACATGGCTCAAAAATTAAGTAAAATTCCAAGTCACCAAGAGTTTCATACACAATTTTGTCAATATAAAAGAAACATTTTCCTTAACTACATTAGTGTATTTTCTTCATGTTCTAAAAAAATTAAAATTATAAAATCTTCAAAAGTTTGAATGCCAACTCATTTTTTAAATAAAAGTGGCATAAATTAAATAGACATCTCCAAATGATATTGTGTGTTATTTTTGCTATTTTGTTAGCTTTCCTCTTCTATGGAACAGTTATCTGGGAAATTGTGTCCTCTTGTGGTCACTGGCAAAAACAACATGTTTTCTGCAAAGAACCAAACCAAACAGCCGCAGGACATAAGGCTTCAGGAAAAGCCATTTGTGAAAAAAGGAAATCCCTTCAAGCGAAAAAAAATGTGAAAGTTATGAGTCATCAGAAAGAGAAATTGAATTGAAAAAACATGAAATGTAAATCATTCCATTTATATTTAAATTACTGGTCATAGGATGATTAAAAAGAAGACATATAATGCTATGAAGGAAGACTGACACCATGATAACAATTCTTATGAATAACTATTTATTTCTTGCATTCTTTCTTCAGTTATTCCAGCAACTCTTTGATATAAGTGAAGTGAGTGTGTTTTCCAAGGTTAATGGGCAGCTGAGACACCAACTCTCCAGCCAACACACCCCCTGAAAAAAAAAAAAAAAAGGAAAAACATGCTCTTCAAGACTCCATACTTTTCCATATTCTGATCCTGCTCTTTCTACAGGTTAGACCTATATCTCCTCCTCTCATCCTTAGGCTGAATTCAGAATGTCAGCGATTTTAAAGATTAACATTTATTTGAAAGTTTCATTTGCGGTATTGTTGGCGCCTCAATTTATTGTGCTTTTTACTTTTTATTCTGGATTGAAAACTTCAAATTTTATAATTTATATATATATATTTACTTTCAAAGATATTCAGACAGAAAAATGTAGAATCAGTTCAATTTATGAATTAAATCATCATTTAACGAGAAAGAGAATGAGTTTTTATTTAGGGAAAGGTGTTTAAACATTATTACGGATACCAGAGTCATGAAAGAAGAATAAGCTTTTACACAGTTATTGTGCTGACATGACTTTATATTCCACTTCAATAAAATTATCTCATTTAAACAGCAGTCCCTCTGGAGTGGTCAAAACAAGATGAAATCTAAGATATGCTACCTCATCTGATAGCCACTCAATTGCAGCCTTTCTAATTTTCTCCTCCTTCTGTGAATGTTCCTGTACATTATCTATGCATTTCAGATAAATTATTTCTCAGAACTCGGAGCCAGCAAACTGGTCATGTAAAGTCTGAGGAGAAAGAAGAGAAGGAACAGATAGAAGTACTCACCTTTTTTTTTTTTTTTTTTAGACGGAGTTTCGCTCTTGTTACCCAGCCTGGAGTGCAATGGCACGATCTCGGCTCACCGCAACCTCTGCCTCCTGGGTTCAGGCAATTCTCCTGCCTCAGCCTCCTGAGTAGCTGGGATTACAGGCACGTGCCAACATTCCCAGCTAATTTTTTGTATTTTTAGTAGAGACGGGGTTTCACCATGTTGACCAGGATGGTCTCGAACTCTTGTTCTCGTGATCCACCCGCCTCGGCCTCCCAAAGTGCTGGGATTACAGGTGTGAGCCACCGAGTACTCACCTTTTATGCAAGCCCAAACTCCAGAATTTACCAGCTTGCTAACCATTCTCTAGTGTGTGTTTGTTTTCCTTATCTAAAAGTATTTATAATGGATTGTTGCTAAGAAAGTGTCACAGCATATTCAAACTGTCAGGAGACTTAATATTTATTGTATATATTCAGTGTGAGATTTCTAACTCTGTTACTTTTAACAGTATTTTTTGTTTCAATTTTTAACACAGCACACATTCCTCAGGCAGGATTGCATATATGCCAAGTTTGCAGTTTGAAAACAAAGATCATTTTGCATTATTCAAGTACAAAATAAATTTTTTTTCAGTTAAATTTTTTTGGGGGGGATTTTATTTTAGAAGTAGACAAAATGACTGAATTCTAGCATTCCCAAAAAAGGTAGTCCCCATTGACGTCCTTCCAGTTAGGAAGGATGTCAGACTTAAAGGAAAATTCAGCCTTAAAAGAAAATTTCTAAGATTGTTTTTACGGTCCCAAGATTGAGATTTTAGAAAGAAGTACGCTTTCGAATTTAAACTGAATATTGCAGAAGTTGCGATTATTATTGCATATATAAGATAATCAATAATTCAGAGTTATATCTGACTTGTCAACAAGTAAAAAGGGAGCCATCTTTGCCCCAGCAAATGTGGAAAAGAAAATTGTTAGGTAAAATGTTAGATAAGAAAGAGCTGTACATGAGCAGACTGGATGATCAGCCAGGGCCTGCTGCAGTTTGTAAAGCAGAGAGTTTCTAGTGCCAGCCATTTTCAGAGGTAACTCCTGGCAAGCTAATACCTTTTGCTCCAAAAGTAACATTCAAGCCCTGCTTAAGAACTCAAAGGTCCTCTCATCCTCCACTCTTTAGAACAGTTCAAGAGAAATTTCTTCTTAGAAGTAGTCATCAATTGTGACTCTGGCTGAATGATTCCATGGTCAGGATGGTTCTGGTTAGGTGTTCATTTTGAATTCCCCTCTAAGTATCCTGGCATCAGAGCGTTGCCTGAGCCTTGGTCGGGGGTTCCTGTACCCAATGGCCAGGAGCTCTTTATAAGCTAGAAGTTTAGTGCCGGGAAAGGGTTGGGCACACTTATTTAAGAACCAGGCTTGGAGATTGATGGCTGCAAGATGGGCTGGCTAATGACCCCTGGCTGTTGCGCAGTTGTGGACTCAGTTTCTCCTCCAGTTCCTTGTCCACTCCCCTCCCCTTCCCCAATTCCCCTTGGTCAGGTAAGGTTTCCTTTACACTTTGGCCACACTTTCCTGTCTTGCTTACCCGTGGCCACAAAGAAAAGAGTCCAATCATTCAATCTCTTTATTTTTGATAACTCAGCTACAGAGAAAAAAAGAACAAAACAAAATAAGATTTGATATTGTTCTTTAAAAAAATAGCTGAAGTGGAAAAAGTTTCAAGATTTCTGCAGCCATGTTCTACATAAGAATTGCAGAATGCTGCGCAATTCAGATTTACAAAAAGGAACACTTGATGAAGAGTGGGGCAGAATTTCTGCCGCATTCTCTAAGCGCTCCCAAGAGATAAAATCTGTAAGTGGAAGACACGTAGGCAAGGGTGCAGGGGTGACTGTTTCGAGAACTGCCACAGTGCTACTGAAATTAAGTGGAAGTCAAGTCGAATCTGATTTTCAGACAGACTATTTTACAATAAGGCAGCGGCTCGCCAAACAGGCCAGTTGACAAGCTGTAGTCATTGTTTCTGAATATTTTTGTAAAACGGTAAGGGACCAACTCTGCAATTTGTCCCTCCCATGAAAGCACAGTCTTGTTTACCCCTCGCTGGAGAAATAACACTCGTCCTCTCTTCTCCCAACAAGCTGAACCCTTTAGTTGGCCCAAGGAGCTCCACACCCTAAGGTTTCCAGGACCAAAGCTGCAGGCGCCACAGGGAACAGCCACGTGGCCTGCCTGCCCGTCGCCTGGGCTTCTGCCTCCAGCTTCAGATATCTGCGCCGCGACCCTTGTTCCAGCCCAGAAAGGGGCACTTCAGTGGTCGTCTCCAAACTCTGCCCCCACCCCAACACTGTCTACTACCTTTTACTTTGCCATGTAAGGGACGGACCACCTCAACTCTTTTCAAAAAGGAAACAAGTATAGCATTGCAAAAGATGGGCTTCTTATTCAAGGCGGCTTTCTTTCTCGTTCACCAACTTTGTTGCTTCCAGTTTGCCAGGATGTACATTAACACCCTCTTTCGGGCTCTTACGTTTTAACTTATAGACAGAAATCCTTAAAATGTTAGCGTATCCAAGTAACTGGAATGCGTTTGGGGCTCAGGAAGCACTGGACCCCCTAGAAAGTGGGGGCTGGGAGAAGGGGGTCTCAGAGCAGGCAGCCCCTTATGTCCTGGCGCTATCAAATTCCCACTTCACTCTCTTACACGCCGGCCTTTCAAGACCACAAAGCGGGGCCTAATTTGGGGGTAGAGATGAAATGGCCGCAGGGTCCTCTCCCTTGGGCTGGCATTGCCAGCTGTCAGGGCTGCCACAAGGCGCAGCGCTGCCCCCCTCTGGCTCTGCTCCCTTCCCCGTGGACTGGGTTTCCTTCCGCGAGAGAGTGAACTTCTGCCTCTTTCTAGCACCTTCCCAGGCGCAGTCCTTTGGATGTTGGGGAGTGTTAGACTGGGTCGTGGTAGAGGGAAAAGGAGGGCCCTGAAGGATGAGAGCAGGCCGGGACGCAAATCCTCAGTTGCCGCGGCGCGGCCACGTCTTCAGAAACGCCCAGGACCTCGGGGCTGGGCCGCCGCGGTTTGGCCCTTGGAACACCAAGGGGTTCGTCTACCTGACCATTGGGTGCCCTCCGCGGTTGACAGTTTTCTTGGCAATCCCCCTCCCGCGCCCCGCCACACACACCCCGAGCCCCAGCAATCCCAAATCGGCCCCACGGACCTAGAGGGATCTTGGGCGAGATGAGACATCACCCACTGTGTAGAAGCTGTTGCCACTGCTGCTGTCACAGCCACTCCGGATGGGGCTGTCACCGCGGCCGGGACTGTCTCCTCTGGCCGCTTTTCGGGCTGCGTTAGGGTTCGGGGGCGCTGCCCGCACGCTCCGGAGGGGAAGGAAAGCGCCCCGCGCCCGCGGGAGGAAGGCAACCGAGAGGGAAGGGGGAGGGCGGCAAGGAGGCGGGTGGAGGGGCCGGCCGCCCGGGCCAGGTCGTTTTTGAATGGTTTGGGAGGACGAATTGTTAGACCCCGAGGAAGGGAGGTGGGACAGGGGAGGGGGACTGGAAAGCGGAAACTTTCCTATAAAACTTCGAAAAGTCCCTCCTCCCCACGTCAGGCCAATGACACTGCTGCCCCCAAACTTTCCGCCTGCACGGAGGTATAAGAGCCTTCAAGTCTCCAGCTCTCGCCCAACTCCCAGATACCTCGCGGGCTCTGCAGCACCGGCACCGTTTCCAGGAGGCCTGGCGGGGTGTGCGTGCAGCCGTTGGGCGCTTTCTTTTTGGACCTCGGGGCCATCCACACCGTCCCCTCCCCCTCCCGCCTCCCTCCCCTCCTCCCCCGCGCTCCCTCCCCGCGGAGGTCCTCCCCGTCCGACCTCCTGCTCCCTCCTCAGCTGGCCTCTCCGCCCCGGCCGGCGCCGCGCGCGGGGGAAGCTGGCTGGCTGAGGCACCCCGCTCTCCTCCTCTTCCCCGGGCCCGCGAGGCCACGCGTCGCCGCCCGAGAGATGATGCAGGACGTGTCCAGCTCACCAGTCTCGCCGGCCGACGACAGCCTGAGCAACAGCGAGGAAGAGCCAGACCGGCAGCAGCCGCAGAGCGGCAAGCGCGGGGGACGCAAGCGGCGCAGCAGCCGGCGCAGCGCGGGCGGCGGCGCGGGGCCCGGCGGGGCCGCGGGCGGGGGCGTCGGAGGCGGTGACGAACCGGGCAGCCCGGCCCAGGGCAAGCGCGGCAAGAAGTCTGCGGGCTGCGGCGGCGGCGGCGGCAGCGCGGGCGGCGGCGGCGGCAGCAGCAGCGGCGGCGGGAGTCCCCAGTCGTACGAGGAGTTGCAGACGCAGCGGGTCATGGCCAATGTGCGGGAGCGCCAGCGCACTCAGTCGCTGAACGAGGCGTTCGCCGCGCTGCGGAAGATCATCCCCACGCTGCCCTCGGACAAGCTGAGCAAGATTCAGACCCTCAAGCTGGCGGCCAGGTACATCGACTTCCTCTACCAGGTCCTCCAGAGCGACGAGCTGGACTCCAAGATGGCAAGCTGCAGCTATGTGGCTCACGAGCGGCTCAGCTACGCCTTCTCGGTCTGGAGGATGGAGGGGGCCTGGTCCATGTCTGCGTCCCACTAGCAGGCGGAGACCCCCACCCCCTTGGCAGGGCCGGAGACCTAGGTAAGGACCGCACCGTTGCACCCCTTCGCCTCTTAGGCGGTAGACAGCCGGCCGGCCAGGCCGCGATTCCCAGTCCTCGATTTCCTCCCTTCTTGCACTCTGCTCTCAGCCTTCCCACCTCACTTGGCACCGCTGCCTCGCGCCCCGAGCGTCCCGGGACGGCCGGTCCGACCCCGCCAAGGAGAGCGGTCTCCAGGGGGATGCGCCCTGGTGAGGGGTGTGTGTGCGCGTGAGTGTGCGTGACAGACTGGAGGGGAGACAGAGACACCCAGGGGTAACGGGTAAGGACAGTTTTGCCAGCACCTCCCTTTCTTCCGACTTTCAATTTTTGTTCTTCTCCCTAAAACTAATGTTTTAAAACAAATTCCACCTCCTCCTTTCCGCCCACCCACTTCCTCTTGCCCTTGGGCTGAATTCCTTCCAGGTTGTTCAACTTAATTTCTCGGTGGTGGTGATAAGAACAGTGCTCACTAGTCTTAGAAAACAGCCGCAGAGACCTAAACAATAACCAACTCCCCCTCTCTGGGTTTTTGCAGATGTCATTGTTTCCAGAGAAGGAGAAAATGGACAGTCTAGAGACTCTGGAGCTGGATAACTAAATATAAAAATATATGCCAAAGATTTTCTTGGAAATTAGAAGAGCAAAATCCAAATTCAAAGAAACAGGGCGTGGGGCGCACTTTTAAAAGAGAAAGCGAGACAGGCCCGTGGACAGTGATTCCCAGACGGGCAGCGGCACCATCCTCACACCTCTGCATTCTGATAGAAGTCTGAACAGTTGTTTGTGTTCTTTTTTTTTTTTTGACGAAGAATGTTTTTATTTTTATTTTTTTCATGCATGCATTCTCAAGAGGTCGTGCCAATCAGCCACTGAAAGGAAAGGCATCATTATGGACTTTCTCTGTTTTAAAATGGTAACAATCAGAGGAACTATAAGAACACCTTTAGAAATAAAAATACTGGGATCAAACTGGCCTGCAAAACCATAGTCAGTTAATTCTTTTTTTTTTTTCATCCTTCCTCTGAGGGGGAAAAAAAACTTAAAATACAAAAAACAACATTCTATTTATTTATTGAGGACCCATGGTAAAATGCAAATAGATCCGGTGTCTAAATGCATTCATATTTTTATGATTGTTTTGTAAATATCTTTGTATATTTTTCTGCAATAAATAAATATGATCAAAAATTTAAATAAACTTAAAGTTTGGTTTATATTTTTAAAGCTAAAAATTAAGTTGGTGGTAAATACCTACTTGTTTAATTCTAGAGGCACGGGGGTGGGGCTAATATAAATAAAGCAGTGAAAAACTCAAATAAAGCTGCTACTGACAGACATAAGCATGTTATTTTAAAAGACAGCTTTATTATTATTCCAGTTTGGTATTCAGTGGTCTTAGTAGCATCTCTCTTCATCTCTAAACAGCAAAAATTAACAAATTTGCTATTCACCTCCCTAATATTTTGAGGTGGTAGTTGTAAAACAGTTAAATGCAAATAAGCAGCATGAAACCTGCACTACTTTCTTTCATTATGTACTTTTCGTCATGCTCTGCACTCTCTGTGAAGATTCTTAAATAACAGGTTCTTTTCAGTCAAAGGATAGTGTTATGAAAATTATCTGTACAATATAGAAATGACCATAAATGCATAGAAAATGGTATAATTCAGCAGAAAAGAGAAAATTTCATTTGTAAAATAATTTGCTCAACTCTTCTCTCATGAATGAATATAACACTTAGTGTCATGTTTGCTAAAAAGAAAAGTTAATATATCCCTATATTGATGTTATTTGGGAAGCATCATTCTTCTTTAGGTATAAAGAATATAAGGCTGTGGAATAAAATACAAATAATAAAGACCCTGAACTTTCAGTATCCTTGATAACTGTTGGAACAATTACAGTTTTAAATACTACAGCTATGCAGTTTGTAGTCAATTCATTAACAAATATATTTCATCCAAAATTACACAGAATTTTTCTGTGGTGAGACCATAACACACACACACACACACACACACACACACACACACAATCTGAAGTTAACTAAAAATAATGGGCAACCTGGGGTGTTTGATTTTTTTTTTCATTCTGGGTATTTCTGGGCCAGGAACATACCGGCTTTTATAATTAATATTATTAGAAATAGTGATTTTGTATCATTTAGTTCTTTTATATCCAATTTACTGCATTTAATTGTAACTAGGGAAGCTTTCAAACTGAAAAATTATTTTGGTGCCTAATTCAAACCATGACTAATAAGTGCATGTATCCAAACAGATCATTTTTGCTTAGCTCAGGTCGAGGTCATTTTATTGCCTGAAGGTTTTTATTTTCTTCCCCACACAGTACCATAGAATGCTGACATAACAATGTTATAAATTTATTGTGAATATTTCAGACAGTATTTTACAATAAGGAGCCTGCAGCATTTAGTTGCATTAAAAGACTACTGAAATCTTGGAGAAGTATTATTATTAATTTTGGATTTTGATAGTCCTTTAGCAAATAACAGAAAGGGAAGGTGATTATGTGTGGGTGTGTTTGTGGGGTGTGTGTGTGTGTCTGTGTGTGTGTGTTGGGTAGGGTAGAAATGTAAAGAGGGTGCCCTAGAAGGATTAGGAAAAGCATTCGGATGGTAATTCTCTTTTGTATGTATCATCCAACAACCTCCATTTTCTAAATTATTCATGAAGAGTCTCCTTGTTCACTGGCTTGGTCTGACTATTTGATATTTCAGATTTCTTGAGGTACACCAGGATGAAGCTGGCCATCACTGCTGAGAAGGTAATTGCTATCTTAACTCTGAATATAAGAACTAGATGTGTCAAAGAAAGGTAGCTCTTCATTTGCCTTTCTTCTCTTTTTTTTTTTTTTTAATGTGTTTTGCATTTTCCACTTTTTTCATAAGAGGAAACACTTTGGAGCAAAGCAAATGCCGTATTTATAGTGAGTAATTTTAAATACTAAACTGAAGGTAATGTTTCCCCCTAGATTTTCAGAGAGATAAATGAATTAAAGAATAGGTGGTAAATACTTTTATTTTGAATGAGGCGACTGCACAATGAAGAATATTAACTATTAGAATGCCATTTCCAGCTTGCAGACTCTGTAATCCCTACCCACCATACACAAGACATAAATCTCAAAATTCTTTTTTAGAATAGAAATGAAGCCACCTGTTTCTTTCTCTCCATCATTATATCTTTTGTATTTTATTTTATTT